TGCTGGATGCTTTTCAGGCAGTGCTGCTACGTGTGCGGGCCAAGCTCTGTGGTGGAGGTGCTAAAACGGCGGGTTTCAATGCAGCAGACACAGACAAGCTGAGGAAGCATTTGTTAACCAAGGGGGTCCCAGAGGCTTCTGTAGATTCTCGAATGACTGCAATCCTGGACATTTTGGCGCCGGCACAGCTTGCAGACATTTATAGGTCATTAGAGCCGTGGGCCAATTTGAAGGCCGCTGTTAAGCAGCGGGTGCGGCTAGTGACTCCTGAGGAGCTGAAACAGCACAAGTCCACTGCTAAGCCGGCTTCCAGCTCTACTCAGAAGCAAGAGCATGACCCGTGGCTGGAGAGTGATCCTTGGCAAGAAGGACGTTTCACAGCTGCCGCTCATCCGACTACTCATGCCGCTCAGGCTCAGGCCACCATCTCGCTATTGCCGGAGTATTTCTGCAATGAAGATGGCACACATCCAGAGATCATTCAACAAGTTGGTAACGGTAGTGCAGGAGTGTGGCTTGCGACCCTGGAGGAAGTCGAAACACTCACGGTGTTCGGCGCAGCTGTGTCAGCCGATGAGTGTGCGGCAGTAGTCCTTGGCACCACACAGCCTAACGTGGGATCCTTCTCTTGTGAAGCCATCACTTTGGTTGCTCAGCATTCAGAAGCCGGCCGCGTTTTGCTGAAGGGTTTCCTAGTGAACTTAGGGGATAAGACTATGTCTGTCCAGCCGGACGATGACATCATTAATGTTTCCCCCAAAGATACCCAAGTAATTACGCTTGAAGTTGCTGCGCAGTACTGTCGCGAATGGCCTCAAATTCGTGGCAATCCACTTCGTTTTGCACACAAGACCATTGAAGGATTGCAGTCTGCAGTAACCAGCACCTGGTCAAGGAAGTTCTTTCAAGATAAGGTTGCTTGTGGGTCTGATGTTGCTACATCCTACCATGCATTCGCAAAAATATTGGCCCCAGAGTTGTCCGAGCTGTTGCGCCTGTCAGGAATCGGAGGGGTGTTCCTGACACCCAAAAGCGATAGTGAAAATGGCCCAT